TATCTCATAATTATGACTTAGTTATCTCATAATTATGAGATAGTATCTCATAATTATGACTTAGTTATCTCATAATTATGAGATAGTATCTCATAATTATTACTTAGCTATCTCATAATTATGGCATAGTGTCTCATAATAAAAAGATAGCTAAGTCATAATTATGACATAGCTAAGTCATAATTATGAGATACTATCTCATAATTATGACTTAGTTATCTCATAATTATGAGATAGTATCTCATAATTATTACTTAGCTATCATAATTATGAGATAGTATCTCATAATTATGAGATAGTATCTCATTATAAAGAGATAGCTAAGTCATAATTATGAGATACAAGTTTTATTTTTTATCAGGGTTGCGGAAATGGGCTTCCATAATTTAACAATGGGAATCTGTTAAATGTTATTTTTCAGTGGAATGTTACTAATTAAAATAAGATGTAGGTTTTTCGTAACTTGTGCATGTAGTAAATGTGTCAGACTAGTAGTATTTATGGAACTGGATTGCATCGGTGACTTAAAATATTAAAAGAAAAAGCTTTGCTTCATCCCAATCTGATTCTTTTTGTGTTATGTTTTTGTGAAAAAATAAAATCTCACGCTAGATTCATAAGTTTTGAGAAACACATGGTAACCAGGAGGGCATAGATCAGTTAAAGTTGCACCTTGTGACTTTAGTCACTCAGCTTGAGCAGCGCATTGGCTTAATGGTTAAATATGAGTGTGCAATGTTTAAAATAAACTGAAAACTCATCTGAATACCAATGAGTGTGGCAGGGTCAACAACTATTTTTGCTCACAGACAAATGTCTAATCATGACCTTAGTTGGCAGTACCGAGAGGCCTTCCTTCTAGACATTTAATCACACCTGATTTTAACGAATGGATGATTGGCAGGCTTCTGCAGAGATTGAAAAGTAATTCAGTCACTGAATCGGGTATGCTCGTGAAACAAAGTAAACATGCAGGATGGCTCTAGAACAGTGGTTCCCAAACTTTTTGTCTTCTGACCCACAAAATATCCATGGCAAAAACTTGTGACCCCAAATATTACTGGTCTGAGTACATGAACTTCGTTAATAACCCTAAAAACACAGGCTTTTTGACAATCTAAACAGCTTATACACAAATATAAATACTTGTTT